TGATGGACGGATGGATGATGCATGGAGGATGGATGGATGGATGGATGGATGATGGATGGATGGATGGATGATGGACGGATGGATGATGGATGGATGGATGGATGGATGGATGGATGATGGATGGATGGATGGATGGATGGATGATGCATGGATGATGGATGGATGGATGGATGATGGATGGATGGATGGATGGATGGATGGATGATGGATGGATGGATGGATGGATGGATGGATGATGCATGGATGATGGATGGATGGATGGATGATGGATGATGGATGGATGGATGATGGATGGATGGATGATGGATGATGGATGGATGGATGGATGATGGATGCTGGATGGATGGATGGATGGATGATGGATGCTGGATGGATGGATGATGGATGGATGGATGATGGATGGATGGACAGATGGATGGATGATGGATGGATGGATGCTGGATGGATGGATGATGGACAGATGGATGATTGATGGATGGATGGACAGATGGATGGATGGATGATGGATGGATGGATGGATGGATGATGCATGGATGGATGATGGATGCTGGATGGATGGATGATGGATGGATGGATGATGGATGGATGATGGATGGATGGACAGATGATGGATGATGGATGGATGGATGCTGGATGGATGGATGATGGACAGATGGATGATTGATGGATGGATGGACAGATGGATGGATGGATGATGGATGGATGGATTGATGGATGGATGATGGATGCTGGATGGATGGATGATAGACGGATGGATGATGGATGATGGATGGATGATGGACGGATGGATGATGGATGGATGGACAGATGGATGGATGGATGGATGATGGATGGATGGATGGATGATGGATGGATGGATGATGGATGCTGGATGGATGGATGATGGACGGATGGATGATGGATGGATGATGGATGGATGGATGATGGATGCTGGATGGATGGATGATGGACGATGGATGATGGATGGATGGACAGATGGTGAATGGATGGATGATGGATGGATGGATGGATGGATGGATGGAGGGATGGATGGATGGATGGATGATGGATGGATGGATGGATGATGGATGCTGGATGGATGGATGATGGACGGATGGATGATGGATGGATGGATGGATGGATGATGGACGGATGGATGGATGGACAGATGGATGAATGGATGGATGGATGGATGATGGATGGATGGATGGATGGATGGATGGATGGATGATGGATGGATGGATGATGGATGCTGGATGGATGGATGATGGACGGATGGATGATGGATGGATGATGGATGGATGGATGGATGATGGATGCTGGATGGATGGATGATGGACGGATGGATGATGGATGGATGGACAGATGGATGAATGGATGGATGATGGATGGATGGATGATGGATGGATGAATGGATGATGGATGCTGGATGGATGGATGATGGACGGATGGATGATGGATGGATGATGGATGGATGGACAGATGGATGGATGGATGGATGATGGATGGATGATGGATGGATTGATGGATGGATGATGGATGGATGAATGATGGATGGATTGGATGGATGATGATGGATGGATGATGGATGGATGATGGATGGATGGATGGATTGATGGATGGATGGATGATGGATGGATGGATGGATGGATAATGGATGGATGGATGGATGATGGATGGATGGATGATGGATGATGGATGGATGGATGGATGATGGATGGATGGATGATGGACGGATGGATGATGGATGGATGATGGATGGATGGACAGATGGATGGATGATGGATGGATGGATGGATGATGGATGGATGGATGATGGATGGATGATGGATTGATGGATGGATGATGGATGGATGGATGATGGATGGATGGATGGATGGATGGATGAAGGATGGATGGATGATGGATGGATGGATGGATATGGATGGATGGATGGATGATGATGGATGGATGGATGATGGATGGATGATGGATTGATGGATGGATGGATGATGGATGGATGGATGGATGATGGATGGATGGATGATGGATGGATGGATGGATGGATGATGGATGATGATGGATGGATGGAAGATCCATCCATCCATTCATCCATGGATGGATGAATGGATGGATGGATGATGGATGGACGGATGGATGATGGATGATTGATGGATGATTGATGGATGGATGGATGGATGGATGATGGATGGATGGATGGATGATGGATGATGGATCATGGATGGATGATGGATGGATGATGGATGGATGGATGATGGATGATGGATGGATGGATGATGGATGGATGGATGATGGATGGATGATGGATGGACGGATGGATGATGGATGGATGATGGATGGACTGATGGATGGATGATGGATGATGGATGGATGGATGGATGATGGATGGATGGATGATGATGATGGATGGATGATGAATGGATGATGGATGGATAGAGATCCATCCATCATCCATCATCCATGATGGATGTATGGATGATGGATGATGGATGGAAGGATGATGGATGGATGGATGGATGGATGATGGATGGATGGATGATGGATGGATGGATGGATGGGATGATGGATGGATGGATGAATGGATGGATGGATGATGGATGGACGGATGGATGATGGATGATTGATGGATGGATGGATGGATAGATGATGGATGGACGGATGGATGATGGCTGGATCATGGACGGATGATGGATGGATGATGGATGGACGGATGGATGATGGATGGATGATGGATGGATGGATGATGGATGGATGGATGATGGATGATGGATGATGGATGGATGGACGGATGGATGATGGATGGATGGATGGATGGATGATGGATGATGGATGGATGGATGGATGATGGATGGATGATGGATTGATGGATGATGGATGGATGATGGATGGATGGATGATGGATGGATGATGGCTGGATGATGGATGGATGATGGATGGATGATGGATGGATGGATATGGATGATGATGCTGGATGATGGATGATGGATGGATGATGATGGATGATGGATGGATGATGGATGATGGATAGATGATGATGGATGGATGGATGTGGATGATGGATGATGGCTGGATGATGGATGATGATGGATGGATGGATGATGATGGATGAATGGATGATGGATGGATGATGGATGATGGATGGATGGTAGATGATGGATGGATGGATGGATGATGGATGGATAGATGATGGATGATGGATGGAAGATGGATGGATAGATGATGGATGGATGGATGATGGATGGATGGATAGATGATGATGGATGAATGGATGGATGATGGATGGATGGATGATGGATGATGGATGGATGGATGGATGATGGATAGATGATGGATGATGGATGGATGGATAATGGATAGATGATGGATGATGGATGGATGATGGATGGATAGATGATGGATGGATAGATTGATGGATGATTGATTGATGATGGATGGATGGATGATGGATGATGGATGGATGGATGGATGGATGATCCTATTTGTTTTTCCTTGTTGCTGAAAATGTGCAGTAGAAACAAAATGGCCGTTGCTACTGCTCATTGCTGCTGCTGTCAATAAAGATAAAAAACTGGACTAATTGCTCCATTTGTTTGTAGAATGTAATGTTTCCCATTAATCTGGTGTGAAAGTGGATTTCAGCAGCTGAAAATGGAAGAAATGTTCTGGTTCCCAGTGGAACCGAGCCTGTTGGACTGTCAGGCTAAAGCTTCTAGTCTCAAGACCAGTAGATCCACTGAGACCAGTTTAGTTAGTCCCTAGTATTTTAGTTCCAGTTTGACGAAACTCCAGATTGGGTCAGTTTGTAGTTTCCACCCAAACTGGTGGAGAATCGTCTGTTTAAATCTGTCGTATAAAGATAAAGTTTTATTTTCCTGATGAAGTGTCCAGTTCAGACTTTGGTTTCTCCCCCTCTGTGTGTCTGCAGCTTGTCAGGCTGCTTGATCTCAGAGGAAGGCTGTGCTTCTCTGGCCTCTGCTCTGACCTTTAACCCCTCCCATCTGAAAGAGTTGGACCTGAGCTACAATCATCCAGGAGACTCAGGAGTGAAGCTGCTGTCGGCTGGACTGGAGGATCCGAACTGGAGACTGGAAGCTCTCAGGTATGGAGGATAGAGAGTTAGCCAGTGGAGGGACTGGAGAACGGCTCTCATGTCTCCAACTTCCTGGTTTTAGTCAGAACTGCAGCAGCAGCAGCTGCAGCAGCAGCAGCAGCTGCAGCAGCATCTGGATCAGCTGCAGGTTTAGTTTCAGACCTTTGAAGATGCTGTTGCAGTGATCAATGCAGCAGTTGAGTTTCTCTGGGTCTTAGTCTTCTAGAAATGTTCTGTTGGAGGATGGAAGCCGACTTCACTGTCTTTATGTGGCTCTGAAGGTTAAGGTCAGAGGTCATCACTACTCCCAGACGTCTGATGTCTAGTTTCCAGCTGTAGCAACTCTAGATCTATATCTATATCTCTAGGTCTATATCTCTAGATCTATAGCTGTAGATAACTGTGTGTGCGTGTGTGTGTGTGTGTGTGTGTGTGTGTGTGTGTGTGTGTGTGGTGGTGTGTGTGTGTGTGTGTGTGGTGTGTGTGTGTGTGTGTAATGTCCATGTTTGCTGACCTCTGACCCTCGTCCCTTTCAGGGTGGAGCCTGCTGGAGTCCGATTCTTGACACCAGGGCTGAGGAAATGTAAGTGTGTTTTTCATCTGATTCATAATAACAACCATCTTCACAGAGTCACATCACTCATTCAGGAGTCATCAAAGATCAATAAATGATCAATAACTGCAGCTGGATTGTGTTTCTTCTCTCCATCAGATTTCTGTCAACTCACCATCGATACAAACACAGTGAACAGAAACGTGAAACTGTCTGAAGATAACAGGAAGATGACAAATGTGGAGGAGCTCCAGCCATATCCTGATCATCCAGACAGATTTGATCATTTTCGCAATCCTGTGTGAAACTCCTCTTACTGGTCGCTGTTACTGGGAGGTTGAGTGGAGTGAAGGAGTTGACATAGTGGTTTGTTACAGGAGAATCAAGAGGAAAGTAGACAGTAGAGACTGTTGGTTTGGAGGAAATGATCATTCCTGGGGTCTGATCACCTGTGGTCAAGATGAGGTTATGTCAGACACAATCACATACAACCTCGTTTCCACTCCTCCTTTTTTTCTCACAGAGTTGGAGTGTATGTGGATATTCCTGCTGGATTCTGTCTTTCTACAAAGTTTCCTCCGACTCACTGATCCACGTCTACACCTAAAACCACATTCACTGAACCTCTCTATGCTGGGTTTTGTGTCTGGAACTCTGGTTCTTCACTGGTTCTGAAGAACTAAAGTTTCTCATGTCAGAGAAATTTTCTCTGTAAAAATCAAAAGTAAAAATCAAGTTTATTGACGAGAGTTCAAAGTTCTTTTCCCCATAATAACATAATATAGTATTAAAATGTGAAACATTAAATGCTGTCAGATAATAATGAAGCAAATATTCATCAAATATGTGGATCAATGTTACAATTATGAATTATTATGAATCAAACATCTGGAAACGGTTTGTTGCTCCTTTATTTTGTTTTTTGTATTCCATGTCCATCCACTAGGGGGAGCTGTCTCTGCAGTGGTTTTGTCATCCCAGCTTCCTGTCTGTGGCAGAGCTGCTTCCTCCCAGAGGCTGCAGCTCTTAGAAACACAGGTCTGACCTTTTTCGACCTTGGAGGTTTAGCTTTTGTTTCAGACTCACTGCTATGAATTAAAAGTTTTTCTGGATAATTTAACATTTTTCTTGCCTCATTCTGGATCTTCCTCCTCAGACAATAACAAGTGTTTCCCCAAAACTTGCTGTTCATATTTTCTGTCATTTAAAGTTATTGCACAAAATGAATTCAGTCCAGATTTTCAGTCAAATATAAATGAAGCAAAGTTCTGCTAATATTCTGTTTATGAACAAAATCAGTGTTTTGGATTCATGGGAAAATATCAGCAAAATTATATGTTGCTTGTAAATGTCATTTATTTCATTAAAGTATTTTTCACAATGATTTAAGTTTAATCCTCATGGGATTTATCCAAGAAACAAAAATAAAAAAATAAGAAAATCCAACAAAATCCTGTTTAATATTTAAAGGGACTAGAAGAACCAAATGAAATATTAATTTTTAATAATCTAATAAGTTTCAGTTTCTAACATTTCTATTAAATATTTGTTGCTCCTTCTCTGCTGTTCATTTCATCATGTTTATTTCTTTCAGTTTATCATAAGTTGCTTAAATTGCTTCAAAATATCAAACGTTATTTTTAATACTGCAGTGAAATAAAACCGATTATAACCAAATTATTGTGTCTTATTTTTCTGTTTTCTGTTTTGCCCTGAGTTCAGTCTGTCAGGCAGAACCGACCGACGCTCCACCTACACTCCTCCTCCTCTTCCTTCTCCTCCTCCCCCCCTCCTCCTCCTCCTCCTCCTTGAGGAGGAGGAGAAGGTTCCATCTACTGGTTCTCCTCTCTCCCTCCTCCTCCTCTACTGACAGTAACGCTGGTAGTCCAGCTGTGCTCCCAGTGTTGTTCCTGCCAGGTGTTTGCTGAAAGCTTGGTCCATTTCTCGGTTCTGTTCTGGACTGAAATGGTTCCTCCAGTCTCCAACCTCACCTGCACAGGAGAGGAGATCCAAACGGATCATTTTAGAGGGGAACCGACTCGTTTCACTGTTGGAAGATGAATGTTTTCCTTGCAGACGACCTTTCCTGAAGATGACGTTTCCCATGTTGCCGTGGGACCTGGCTGAACTCTCCTTCATGGCGTTGAAGGTGCTGCCCGCTGCCACCTGCTGCACCTGCGCCTCCGTCAGGCTGAAGCCCAGGAAGCTGGAGATCTGCCGGATGCCTGCGCTGAGATCCTGAGGACAGGAAACATGGTGAGAGCAGATTTCCATTTCAGGTTGAGGAATCAGAGGACTGACCTGCTTCAGGGCCTCAAAGGTCACCAGCAGGACGTTGGGGTCGTCCATCCTCCTGTTCCAGGCCAAGGCGTAGTCAAAGTACGAACCCCAGGCAACTGCACACAAACATGACTTATCCATGGTTTCTGTCATACGGGCATCGTTTCTAGAACTGGTCATAAGATACTGGCAACCAGTGAAACCATTCATATGATTCTAGAGACCAGAAACCAAAACCTAATCAGCAAACTGATCAATATTGATCAGTTTATTATCTCAGGAGCTTTGATGCCATAAACAGAATAAATCTGATGAACGAAACATGGAAATAACGTCTGAGTGCAAATATCATGAGAAGCTGGACAGGAACTGGTTCCCTTTACTGATTCCATTTACTGGTTCCATTTACTGGTTCTATTTACTGGTTCCATTTACTGGTTCCATCTACTGGTTCCATCTACTGGTTCCCTTTACTGGTTCCCTTTACTGGTTCCATCTACTGGTTCTATTTACTGGTTCTATTCACTGGAGGAACTTTAACAATGATAACTTTACTGCACTAAACTTTGCTGCATCATTTCAAAGTAAAAGTAACTTCAGTATTTTATCCTCCTCTCGTTTTATCACTGAATGGAGATTAAAAATCTGATGTTATTTTCTGAGTGACTCAGTAAACAGCAGATTTTCTCTCTGGAAGTTCGTCGTCTATATCCACCTCCTCATTCAGTCCCAACCTTTGGCTGCTGCTCCATGTTATAATATTCATAATACAAACAGATGGAGATAAAATGACTTTCACTGGCAACATTTTCTGTTGTGGAAATTAGATTCAATTATTCCATGAAAAACCTGGAAAATAACCAAAACCTGCTTTGTTGCTGCATTTATCTTGAAAACTGTTTTTTATCCTCATGAATGTGTTAAAGAGCTGCAGACAGCAGACCTCCTGAATGTTGGATGTTTTTCCCAACAGAAAACTCGCCGAGTTTCTGCTCCTGTTTCTCCTGTTGGTAACGTCTCGTCTCTGCAGCGCCGCCACCCTGACGGTTCCCACTCACCGTCTCCTTTCATGAACTGGGAGAAGAAAGAATCCCAGGACTCCACAGACGGCAGAACCGGGTTGTTGTTGCAGAAATGATAGTAGGAGACCAAGGTGTCCTTTGGGTTCCTGAAGACCACACCATCTGGGAGAAACGGTGCAGTTTGATCATGAAACTGGAGCTGATGGAAGCGCAGACAGACGCTGGTTTCCTCTGAGCTCCTGCTGCACTCAGAGTCGTTTCCAGAGAATATTCATGAAGCATCAGATGGATTCGCTGTGCAGCAGATTCAGGACGTACCTTTGTTTTTCTGGCTGAAGGAGGACGGCATGATGTCTGGATGAAGGTGAGTTCCCAGAAACCTGGGAGACGGAGCCTCAACCACAGCCTGGAAACACAGGAGGGGAATAAATGATCATTCAGAATGTTTTCTGCTCCCAGTTAAACCTCGGATCAATAACCGTATCTGATCCATTACTGAGGTCAGGCTCAGATTTTATCCATCTGCTGCTTTTAGTTTCTTTAGATTTCCTTTGTTTCCTCCAACATTGGTTTGCAGGTCCAGGAGGAAACCAGACGTCATTTGTTATTTTTAAAGTCACAGAGACGTTAACTTATCATTTGACAGAACTGGTTTTACTGGACTTTAACTGGAGCAGCAGGACCAGTAGTTTAATATTTACATTGTCTGACTGAACCTTTAAACAGATCAGTGACAGAAACAATCTGGATTATTAACGTTTGGACGCAGCTTCACTCCGACTGTCGGATCAGGTTACAATCCTTCTATTCTTCACCAGCAGAGTTTGACCTTTGACCTCCTGCTGTGCCGCGCCCTATCTGAACTGGGACAGCGGTCTGGTTGCTTGTTACTAACGCCTGCAGTCTGATCAGAAGCTCAGTATCACTACATGTGACCTCAGGGTTCAACAGATGTGAGAATAAAATCAAACTGAACGTCTCAACATTGAAAGGAAACATTCTGACTCATTTCAGCACCTTCAAGACTTCTGGGCCAAAGAACTCGATCAGCGGGGAAATCTTGGATTCGTTCTGCGTCTGGGTGGCCTCTGCAATGACCTTCTTCATAACGCCAACCATCCAGTTAAATCCTGCACACAGAAGCAGTTCACTGGTTCATTGAGAGGCGAGCAGGAACCAGAGCGTCGTCGTTTAAACCTCATTTAGCTCAAATCGTTCAGTTTGTCCTAAAATGTTTCCCAGGAACAGCCACAGATCTGCGTTTCCACGGCGTCGCTCTGCAGGCCCGAGCTCGGCCTGCAGAACCGGCTGCAGATAGCAGCGCTCCTCCCAGCAGATTATCTCGTCTGTCTTCATGCTGCTGTCGTGCAAAAAGTTTCCTCCAAAATAAACAGTTATTAGGAAACGTGTCGCATTCCAGGAGTTCAGCTCAGAAACGTGACGCTGATGACACATTACAGCTCAAACAGCCATTAATGTTCAATTAAAGAGACATTATAAATGTTATTATTGTGACTCATGTCAAACATTAAGAATCATAGAAACATTCAAATCTGTTATTTCTGAGTTTATTAACTAACTTTCATCAAAACAAAATTCAAACCTGAACTTTCATCATGTTTGGCTTGTTTAGTTTTTTTATTCATAAAATAATTGAAACATTTTTTCACATCAAATCATAATGTAAAAATAAAATGTTGACTTTATTTGATACTTTAGTTTTAGAAAGTTTTCGGTTTTTGAATGGGAGCTGCAGTCGTTCATCACGTTGGATTACAGGGAAATGAAATATTTCATCAGGTTAAAATCCTTCAGGTAAATATGAAAAGATTTTAATGTTTGTTCTGAAAAACGGATCAGTTGGGCGTCGACCTCCAGTTCATCCGGTTTGTTCATTTATCAAACTTTTTCACATTCATTTACACTTTAATGTCTCGGTTTTATTAACTTTGGTTTTTGAAAATATGAAATTAAACAGTAAATTAAGCAAAGTAAATGACACTTAATAAGACGACGGTCTTTAATATAAATATATTTCCAGTTTATGTTAGAAACATACAAACTGTAATATAAAGTGTCATTGTTGATCATAATGTACAAACAGATTTATGTTGTATAAATATGATTTAAACATTTATGATTTATGTGATATTATTGCTGTTTGAACATTTATTCACTTTTGTCAGTTTTATGAAAGAAAAGCTTCTAGTTTGTTTTTGCAGCCGTCAGTTTATTGTTAATGAGTTAAAGTTTGTTCAGGTCTCGACGTTTGACTGATTGAGGGTTTTATTCTGTGAATCACTTTAATGTGATGTTTACTTTGCAGGTGTGTCTTCATTAAACTCTTAGTAACTCAGGTTTTCATCTCAGGCCCAACAGTTGATCCTCATCAGCTGTGTGAAATGAAATGATCGTCAGTCTGGAAATACCTTTAAATATTTAAATGATTGTTAATATAAACCACATGTGGATGCTTAAAGGAATGTTTGTACATGTTTCAGAGAAATCCCTTCTCATCCGTCCATTCATCTCTGATCTCAGGAAAATGTTTCCTGTTGCAGAGATTCTCCTCCATCTGAGCCGCTTCACACTCGGCAATCAGCCAGGAAAACTTTTCCTTCCAGCCTGTTTCTCCTCCAGGTGAGTCGCCAACATTTACCATAGCAGCAGCCATGAGAAATGTGGACAGAGGTCAGAGGTCACAGGACACAGACGTGATCTTTTCTCTGACAGGAACCCTGTGAGTGAACCTGCAGAGCAGCTTAGTCCCGACTGGCTTCCTGTTCTTTCATTAAGCTAAACCAGTTTGTGTTGCCACAAGGTTCCTTCGCTGTATTCCCCCACATGTTTGTAGAGGAAAATAAAAACTTCCACAGCGCTCCGAAATAAGGATGCAAACAAAAATTTATTACACAGTTTTTTGCGAGATATTGTATTTTAACGAACCTTCACAAACAACTACGGTTGAAAAACCGTGTGGCTCTGTAGATAAACTAGCAGCGCCTTTCCTTTCTTCCTCCTTAACGCTGCTGCGTTCACATCTCATCTGCATGAACTGCAAAATGGACACCTAAACTATAAACATACAACTTAACATAAAACACTCATTGACAACAAAACATTACAAAATTAGCTACATACAGTACTAATAATTCTACCTAAACCTCAATAAATGCACTTATTAAATATTAAACAAAATGTTTCATCAATAACTGAATATTACTTCACATTAACTTGGCCTCCACACAGTTTACATCTGCAACACGAAACCAAAACTGTTGCTTCCAGAAAAGTTTCATCAGCAACTGCAGTGAGAACAAACATCTCACTAAACGTGAATAAATCATTCTGGTGTTTATGATGGAAATGATCCTCTAACTAAGCAGTCATGCAAAATGAATGATGCAAGTTTGAAATGTTTCTTCCTCTCACCACATTTAGGATAAGCCACCAGCAGGATGTCGTCGTCTCTGGCCTCCAGGCCGTCCAGACACCTTAAATGTTCCTCCGGACACATGAGGGTGGGGTACAGCACCCCGTTGTGTCTGTACAGCTTGTCCTCGTCCCTCATGGCCTTCGCCCTCTCCAGCCGAGCCTGCATCCTGTCGGCCAGCGGGTTGCTGCTCATCCTGCCGAGGGAATCTACAGATCAGGAATCTACAGAGCTGGAATCTATAGATCTGGAATCTACAGAGCTGGAATCGATAGATGTGGAATCTACAGATCAGGAATCTACAGAGCTGCAGGAGATCAGGGAGTCAGAAGAGCAACAGGAAAAACTTCTCTGTGTTCAGACTCTGGAGCGCTGAGGGAGAGAGGAGGAGACTGGAAGCACCTCCTCTCTGGAAGCACCTCCTCTCTGGAAGCACCTCCTCTGCACGCACAGGCAGGAGAAGAGGACTGATAGATCACGTTTCCCCTCCAGCAGATCGGAGAGGTCAAAGGTCACTGGAGAGAAAGCTGAACTGAAGTTGGTGTTTGTTAACTCACTTCCTGCAGCCCACGAGTTTATCTCTGTTTCCTGACATGGAGGAGCAGCAATGAACCCAAACCGGCTGCTGGTTCTGGTTCTGGTTCTGCTTTTACACACAGCGCTGTGAGGCTGATGGAGTCGGTTCCCCCATCAGCCTAGAATATTTACAATAAAACGAAAATCTCATCAGACTCTGGATCAGTTTCCTCCCTCTGGTCTGAATCTGTACAGGAAGTCATCCGCTCCACTTCCTGTCCAAAACAAACTGAAAGTTGTGAGTCAGTAACGATGATCACTTTAAACTTTAAAACGGATTTATGGCAGCAGTGGTTTAAAGGTCATCAGAAGGTCGTGTTCCAGCCGAGTCTGAAGACAAAATTCAATAAATTCAAATTATTGTTTAGATTCTCAAGAGAAAAAAGAAACGAAGATCAGAGACGGAACAACAGAAACCGTCACCAAAACCTGCTGGTTTGGTCTTTGTTTGGTCTCTGTTTGGTTTCTGTTTGGTTTCTGTTTGGTCTCTGTTTGGTTTCTGTTTGGTTTCTGTTTGGTTTCTGTTTAGTTTCTGTTTGGTCTCTGTTTGGTCTCTGTTTGGTTTCTGTTTGGTTTCTGTTTGGTTTCTGTTTGGTTTCTGTTTGGTTTCTGTTTGGTTTCTGTTTGGTTTCTGTTTGGTCTCTGTTTGGTCTCTGTTTGGTTTCTGTTTGGTTTCTGTTTGGTCTCTGTTTGGTCTCTGTTTGGTCTCTGTTTGGTCTCTGTTTGGTCTCTGTTTGGTTTCTGTTTGGTTTCTGTTTGGTCTCTGTTTGGTTTCTGTTTGGTTTCTGTTTGGTCTGTTTGGTTTCTGTTTGGTTTCTGTTTGGTCTCTGTTTGGTCTCTGTTTGGTTTCTGTTTGGTTTCTGTTTGGTCTCTGTTTGGTTTCTGTTTGGTCTCTGTTTGGTCTCTGTTTGGTTTCTGTTTGGTTTCTGTTTGGTCTCTGTTTGGTTTCTGTTTGGTCTCTGTTTGGTTTCTGTTTGGTTTCTGTTTGGTCTCTGTTTGGTCTCTGTTTGGTTTCTGTTTGGTTTCTGTTTGGTCTCTGTTTGGTCTCTGTTTGGTTTCTGTTTGGTTTCTGTTTGGTCTCTGTTTGGTCTCTGTTTGGTTTCTGTTTGGTCTCTGTTTGGTTTCTGTTTGGTTTCTGTTTGGTCTCTGTTTGGTCTCTGTTTGGTTTCTGTTTGGTTCTGTTTGGTCTGTTTTGGTCTCTGTTTGGTCTCTGTTTGGTCTCTGTTTGGTTTCTGTTTGGTTTCTGTTTGGTCTCTGTTTGGTCTCTGTTTGGTTTCTGTTTGGTTTCTGTTTGGTCTCTGTTTGGTTTCTGTTTGGTTTCTGTTTGGTTTCTGTTTGGTCTCTGTTTGGTCTCTGTTTGGTCTCTGTTTGGTCTCTGTTTGGTCTCTGTTTGGTTTCTGTTTGGTCTCTGTTTGGTTTCTGTTTGGTCTCTGTTTGGTTTCTGTTTGGTCTCTGTTTGGTCTCTGTTTGGTCTCTGTTTGGTTTCTGTTTGGTCTCTGTTTGGTTTCTGTTTGGTCTCTGTTTGGTTTCTGTTTGGTCTCTGTTTGGTTTCTGTTTGGTCTCTGTTTGGTCTCTGTTTGGTTTCTGTTTGGTCTCTGTTTGGTCTCTGTTTGGTTTCTGTTTGGTTCTGTTTGGGTTCTGTTTGGTTTCTGTTTGGTCTCTGTTTGGTTTCTGTTTGGTTTCTGTTTGGTCTCTGTTTGGTTTCTGTTTGGTTTCTGTTTGGTCTCTGTTTGGTCTCTGTTTGGTTTCTGTTTGGTTTTGTTTGGTCTCTGTTTGGTCTCTGTTTGGTTTCTGTTTGGTTTCTGTTTGGTTTCTGTTTAGTTTCTGTTTGGTTTCTGTTTGGTCTCTGTTTGGTCTCTGTTTGGTTTCTGTTTGGTTTCTGTTTGGTCTCTGTTTGGTTTTCTGTTTGGTTTCTGTTTGGTTTCTGTTTGGTCTCTGTTTGGTTTCTGTTTGGTCTCTGTTTGGTCTCTGTTTGGTCTCTGTTTGGTTTCTGTTTGGTCTCTGTTTGGTTTCTGTTTGGTTTCTGTTTGTTTCTGTTTGGTCTCTGTTTGGTTTCTGTTTGGTTTCTGTTTAGTTTCTGTTTGGTTTCTGTTTGGTTTCTGTTTGGTTTCTGTTTAGTTTCTGTTTGGTTTCCGTTTGGTTTCTGTTTGGTCTCTGTTTGGTTTCTGTTTGGTTCTGTTTGGTTTCTGTTTGGTCTCTGTTTGGTTTCTGTTTGGTTTCTGTTTGGTCTCTGTTTGGTTTCTGTTTGGTTTCTGTTTGGTTTCTGTTTGGTTTCTGTTTGGTGGGTTCGTCTCTCGGATCGGTCCAGGTTGTTTGACTGGATGAATGAAAATCGTCTCTTTCAGTTTGACTCTTGACTCCTGCAGGACACACTGGCAACGAAATCCCATGTTTTTATTCAGCCACTTAAAAACAAGCTTGGATCCTTTTATTTGAGGTCTGCAGTTCTGTGAAAAGTCTCATCATAGCAATTCAATTAGGACTTTGACTAGGCCATTGCAGCATCCTGATAGTTTATGTTTCAGTCTTTTGATTGCAGATCTGCTGTTTCCAGGATCATTATTCTGTTGACAACAGTTTGGATCAAAATCCAGCTGTCTGACAGCTGGACTCACAGTTTTGGTTTTTATTGTATTTTTCAGGATTTTTTGTTTGAAAAAAGCATTTATTGTTTTTTTTACTCTGGCCTAAAAGCAGGGGTTTGCTTTTACATGTTCCTGGTGCTGCTGTTGCATCAACATGAACCTTCTTTTTTTCTCTCCATGACAATTTCTCCTTCAGAACTTATATGGTGAACATTTTCAAGATAAAACATTTTTTTAGAATTACTTATTATTAGTTGTGTTGTTTTCAGTTAATCTCTGTCATTAAAGCTGGTTGCATCAGGAGCCAATTTGTTCTAATCTAATCCCTTTATTTATTGTTTTATTATCGATGACAAGTTGAAACACTCGGGTATTATCAGGACATGACCAGTAGGGGGCGGCAGTAAACCCGGAACTGCGTCACTGCACTCCACGAACAGGAAGAAGAAGACGAAGGAGGCGGAAGTCCAAGATGGCGATGGACGGAATGATGTCCACGTCTCCGGGTCTGTCTTACCAAACTGCGGGGGATTTTTACCCCAGAAAGTTCGGTTCGAAGCCGGACGTGGTTCCGTCCGGGGTGACGGAGCGGAAGGTGGTTCCGCTGGATAAACCGGATATGGTGTCGGTGGACGTCATCAATATCAAGGAACCAGGTTTGTTATGCTAGCTGTGCTAACAGCTAACAGCTGGTTTGCTGTGTGGTTCTGAATCCAGTCAGCTGGAAATTGGCAACCAGAACCGGTTTTGGTTCTGGTTCGGGTTGACCCGCAGCTTTTATTCAGATCAGTCTGTTCACGGAGATCCGGGTCACTAAATCCGGGTCACAGCGAACCGTCCAGGACTTTCAGGTCCATCAGGATCTCAGCGCTTCATTCACTGAAATAATGTTTACAGTTTAAAGCAAAGATTTGGGGAAAGTTACTCAGGAAGAACCGGAACCAGCTTTAATCTCTGTCTGCAGCAGAACAGAACACATCCACAAACCGGCCTGGTACTGACCGGGAATCGAACCCACGACCACAGGACTACAGGCTCCTGTTGCACCTCCTGTAGCAACAGAGCAACCCAGAACCTGGGAGACTGTTTGAGTATTTAGTTCTTTTATGTAACGGAATCAACGTTTTATTAAAAGTTAATCTTTAGTTAATGTTTGATCATTTGCAGCAAAGGATGAAAAAATCCTTCATTATGTGAAAAGTTCAGACTCTTTGAACAAATGGGATTATCTGAGTCTGAATACTGCAGGTATTAATTAATTACTAAATTAGTTGATGATTTTTTCAATTATTGATTAATCACAATTAATACATTTAGTCGTTTCAGCCGTGAAACAGACAGTGATTTATAAAGATTCATTAAACTTGATTTTTTCCTAATGCTGTAAGTTTTCAGTGTTTATGTTTTGATGAAGGTTCCTCATCGTCAGCGTTAAGCATGATGTCTGAGCCGGTTTTCCTGTTTCCTGATGACTGAAGATGTTTGTCTCCTCAGATGTTCCCCTGCACAGGAAGAAGCACGAACACGACGCCTACGTCCTGGTAGGTCTCCTCTGTGACGCTCTGCGTTAACCTGACCGAAACACACAGCTTTAAAACTCGGCTTTTCCTGCTGCTCCTGCTCAATTTCAGGAAATAAAGCCATGAATATCCAGCAGCTTTTACTTAAAAGCAGACCATGGCAGTGAAACTGGGGCAGGTTTATATTTGTTTTCTGGATAAAAGTAGAAACTAATCAACCCCAAAAATCTTCAGTCCAGATATGTGACGTGTTTGTCAGTAAAGAGGAAAAAAGTTACATAAAAGTAGCAAAACCTCATGTTTTTGTATTCATTGAACTTGACAGTTTTCACAAAGTTTGGACATTTTTGGTCTGGACTGTTCAAGGATGACCTGATGAATCTGTTTTAAGATGAAAATAAATGAATATTTGGTCTCTTGAATTTAAGTAAATTTAATCTAAAAAGTTTTAATTGATGCATTTATTCACATGTCATACAAAGATCCACCACTTGGTGGCAGTGTTGGCCAGTGTTTGGCTGAACTGATTGTGT